CATTGAAGATCGAGGACCCATCATAGCTATTATTATCCAAATTCCAAAATTCCTCAATTTTTTGTCAAAAATTGGAGGATGGCCCCAACCCAGTCAGCTGCTCATTTAGTCTTTTAGGTGTAATTTTTTTTTTCTTTTTTTATGTAAAACCAATTTTTTTATGTGTAACTGAATCCACCCCTAGATTGGAGGACCGTCATAACTGAAATCCAAAGATTCTTCCACATTTGAATTATTGAAAAGAATAAATAGGATTTCATCCCAAAATAAAACTTTAGCTATTAGATTTCAGGAATACCAACTTGTCTCTATCAAAAACGAATCTCTCTACGATATTAACTAATGTAGTTGATTCACAAAGAATATTGAAAACACATTCGTGGATCCTTTGTAACAATATTGAATATTCGATTTGATCAGCAAATCACTGATTTGTGCTCAAATACTAATTTGAAATGAAAATTGGAGAAAATCTTAGCAATTAATATTCTATTTCAATTCCAAAAAAAAAAAAAAATTACTCTTTTTGCCATCAAGTCTACAACCCTTATTTATAACTAAAAAATATAATTATCAATTAATAACTAACATCTAGATAATAACAAAAAGTAAAAGTCCTAATTGGAATTGAATTCCAAATTTATTTAATAAAAAAAATACTAAATGAAAATAATTAAAAACTCGATTTTCATGGGTATTTCATTGTCTTTGTCACCATTGAACTGTTTTGGCATCTACAGCTTGTTAAGGAACTTTGTATGGGTCAACCTTGTCTTCCAACGTTGTGGTACGATAACCTGGGTACCACCTACCTTGTTACAGATCCAATGATGTGCTCTCAAATGAATTATGTTGAAATCGACTTCCATTTCATTCATGACAAGGTTCTCACACGCCAATTGCCCATTCATGATCTTCTAAGTTTCTAATGATTCCTAAGAATTTAGAAAAATAAAGCGACGAAATTGATTAATTCAATATAATATCACGATTTGGACAAAGAATTGAAAAATATTCAATATTCAATAACAAATATTTCAACATGCTCCAACGAGTCTTATTGAAAACACTATAATGCCAAACTAATAAGCCAATTCTATATAAAATTGTAAAGTCAAATTAAACAACGAATTTTGAATTATGTCCTTGCAATGACCGAAAAGTATGATTTTTAGGACACTCAAACTATATACAAGATCACATGCCCTCTATTAAAATCCACACCAAAGCTTATTAACTGGAGTTGTTGTCGTCGTTTCTTGTAGACGAGCACATCTCTGAAATTCAAAGTCTTGAATCCTAAAGGCGCAATTTTGGGCTACGGTAGTTGGAGGAGGTGCAAGTGTCATCTACACGGATATTGTATGCTTCTTATCTCTAATGTTTTCATTCTCTCACTACATATTTGGTAACACGAATAGAAGAAATCAGACAATATTAAATATAAAAATAAGTAAAGATTTTTTAGATTGATGCAACTAGAGAACTTGATAGCCGAAAGAGAGCCCTCGTAATAGGTGGTGGAATCGCCAACGTCACTGATGTTGCTGCTACATTTTACGGAATTATTCGTGCTTTAAAGGAGAAGGTATGGAACCTTCATGTCTATGTATTTGT